CCCCCTCAAGTTGGAGCATGCAGGTTCCGAATGCCCAACTTGCCAAGGAAGAAATCAAACTCGCGCTTGCCCAAGGCCTTAGTGAAAATATCTGTTAGCTGAGAATGGGTAGAAACATACGAAGTAGAAATTAGGCCTTGGACGAGAGCATCACGAAGAAAGTGACAATCAACTTCAATGTGTTTTGTGCGCTCATGGAAGACATGATTAGCGGCAATGTGAAGAGTCGCCTGACTGTCGCAGTGAATCCTCATCGGTTGAGGGTGCGTCACACCAAGACTGCATAACAAACCTTGTAACCACTTTAATTCACATGTAAGTGTTGTCATAGCCCGATACTCAGCCTCGGCGGAAGAGCGTGCAACAGTGTGCTGCTTCTTAGTTCACCAAGATATCGGAGAGTGGCCAAGTTGTACGAACCAACCCATGAGAAACCGGCGGGTGGTCGGGCACGTCGCCCAATAGGAGTCACACCAACCATAAATCTGGAGGTCGGAGTCGGAGCGAAGAAGGATACCTTGACCCGGTGTACCCTTCAAATAACGAACCACACGAACTGCAGCATCCCAGTGTGTTTGACGAGGCTGATGCATGAACTGAGAGAGCATATGCACAGCATAAGATAGGTTTTGACAAGTGACGGCCAAATAAATTAATCGCCTACAAGTCGCCGATACATTTCAGGATCAGAGAACAAATATCCCTCGGCTAAGGGAAGCTGATGATTCTGCTCCATAGGAAAGTCAGTCGGTTTGCAGCCAAGTAAGCCCGTCTCGGCAATAATATCAAGAGTATATTTCCGGTGACAAAGAAATATGCCAGAGGAATTCCGAGCGACCTCAATGCCCAAGAAATACTTGTACATCCCCAAATCTTTCATATGGAAGCATCGACCCAAGTATTCTTTGAAGGCAACAATAGCAGAAGGATCACTCCTAGAAAGAATGAGATCATCAACATAGACTAGGACATGCAAACGAATAGAATTATGATGAAAAATGAACAGAGAGTAATCAGAAAAGGACTGCTGAAAACCATACTGCTTCAGAGCAGCAGCAAGCTTGCAAACCAACAACGAGGAGCTTGTTTCAGGCCATATAACGAGCGATGTAATCTACACCTCTCACCAGTCCGAGGAGAGTGAAAACTAGGAGGAAGTTTCATATAAACTTCCTCAGTTAAATCACCGTGCAAAAAGACATTGTGAACATCCATCTGATGGACTTTCCACCGTTGAGCTGCCGCAACAGCAAGGAATGTACGGACTGTGACCATCTTAGCAACTGGAGCAAAAGTCTCCTGATAGTCAATCCCCTCCACCTGCTTGTTACCCAAAACAACCAAGCGTGCTTTATAGCGCTCAACAGATCCATCAGAATGATATTTAATTTTATAAATCCACTTACAACCAATCGTGTGCTTGTCGGCAGGAAGGGGCACAACATCCCAGGTATGATTATCTTCCAAAGCCTGAATTTCAAGCAGCATGGCAGACCGCCATCGACTATCTCGAACTGCCTCAGCGAACGTCTATGGTTCAACAGCGAAAGTCATGGCTGCAAAAAATGCCTTGTGGCTAGGTGAGAAAGAGTCACAAGATAAATAATGTGCTATGGGATAAGGCGTACCTGAGGATGGTGATGAGGCAGGAGAAACAGTAGGGGGGACGAGGAAAGGACGGTATGAGACACAAAATCAGCGAGCCGAGAGGAGCGACGCTTAACTCGACAACCGCGACCAAGAAACTCATCGGGGGAGGTAGAACCCCCTATCATCGACACTATTAAGTTATGCCCAGGGTCGAGAGAGGAAAGAAGAGGCATAGTGTCACAACATCATCATCGGACACAACAGGCCAAGTGTCGGTAGAAGTGACAAGAGCGACTGGTGTGGCAGATTCTGAAAAAGGAAATTCAGTTTCACATAATTCTATGTCACGAGAGACCAAAAAAGAACCATTATCTAAGTCATATACACACCATCCCTTTTTACCAATTGGATAACCGACAAACACGCATTTACGACTTCGACTGGAAAATTTATCTTCTCGAGAATCCTGGTTGTGTACATAATATAGACAACCAAACACTCTTAAATGGGCGAAATCAGGACTTCTACCATACAACATTTCATAAGGTGTTTTTCAAGACAAAACAGAAGTAGGTGTACGACTAATTAAATATCCAGCCGCTAGCACACACAATGTCCCCAAAATTCAAGCGGCAAATGAGCTTGAAAACGTAACGCACGAGAAACATTGAGAATGTGCTGGTGTTTAAATTCAACTCGCCCATTTTGTTGAGAGGTTCCAGTGCAAGAAGTCTCATGAATAGTATCTTCACGTCGAAAATAGTCACGCATGACGGTAAACTCAGTCCCATTATCACTACGAACAATTTTAATGAAAGTACTAAATTGTCTTTTCACCATAGCAAAGAAAGACATCAAAGTAGAAGAAACATTACTTTTATCATCCAACAAATAAATCCAAGTAGCACGAGAATAATCGTCCACAATAGTTAAAAAAATACCGTGCTCCACAAAACGCGGGAATACGATAAGGTCCCCACAAATCACAATGAATTAATGAAAAAATGTCACTGGCAATATTACAACTAATAGTAAAGCTAGCACGCGAATGTTTAGCCTTATAGCACACATGACATGATTTATTTGATGTCGTAACACCAGACTAAATAAAAGAAAACTGCTTAAGGACAGAGAAAGAAGGATGACCCATCCGTTGATGCCATAGATCAGTGGAGACCGCCGTCACTCTAGAAGTCGTCGCTGTGACCGTCCCTCGAAAGAAATATAGTCCCCCCAACTGTTCACCCGCTTCAATCACCGTCCTCGTAGTGAGGTCCTGAATAGCACAAAATTTATTAGTGAAGGTAGCCACACATCCAGCTTGTTCTAGTAATTGATATAATGAAATCAAGCTACATTGGAGACTAGGAACGAAAAGAACATCATAAAGAACAATATGAGACCCAAGTTCAACTGTTCCAGCTTGACTAGCAGTAATGAGTGTGCCATTAGGCAATTGGACAGATCTTGGTGTAATATTCGCAATATCAGAAAAA